CTGGCTCAGGAAAGTTAAAAGTGAAAGAATGGACGAAGCCTATCAGGCAAAAGGCAACAAAGGAAAGTGGAAAAGGCTAAAATATATAAGAAGTCTGTAAGTCTCATAAATCTTTGGAATGAAATATCTTGGCATGACAATACCCAACGCAGACTTCAGGAAACAAAAAGAGACATAAGCACAGTGACAGTAACAAATGACACCTGCAGACCTGGCTGATCAAGTGGGTAAAAAATAAAGATGTGCATGATTAGAATTATATGATCAGTAAAGAGTTCCTAATGCATGCGTGTTGAACACTGGATCCTAGTAACAGAGAATTCACTTTCTTTAAAGTACTCACGGACCAGCTACAAAAATTGAGGTATTTTGGGTCACAAAGAAACTCTTTCAAAATTACAAATGCAGCCAAATTATTTGTTTTAAAAATTGCAAAATTGGGGGAAATCTTATCACTTTAAAAATTCCTCTTTAAATCAACTTCGAGGAAAAGGAAGAAAATAAAACTGATACAGACTCAAAAATAATGATATTCAAATCACTACATACCCAAACCTGAGGGATATGACTAAAATATGTTCTCAGGGAAATCCATTAAACACTTGGAATGAGTACCAACAAGAAAGAATGGAAATATATGAATTAAGCATTATCTTAAGAACTTAGAAAAATATCAACAAAACCACTTAAAATAAGAGCAGACACTAATGGATAAAATAAACAACCTCATTCACAAAAGAATATATGAATAAATTCAAAAGCTTTTCTATGGAAAATAAATAGATACACTACTGAATAGCCTACTCTACATTGAACGGGTGATTTTCATTTCTTTTCTTTTTTTTCTTTTTGAGTTCAAGAGCCATGGGCATCATAGCTCACAGCAACCTCAAACTCTTGGACTCAAGTGTTGCCTTAGCCTCCCAAGTAGCTGGGACTACAGGCGCCCACCATAACACCCAGATAGTTTTAGAGATAGAGTCTCATTCTTGCTCAGGCTGGTCGTGAACTCCGGAGCTCAAGCAATCCCTCTGCCTTGACCCCCCCAGAGCGCTAGGATTACAGGCATGAGCCACTGTATCTGGCCTGTTGAATGAATGATTTTCTAGGAAAATATAAATCATTATATTTTATGCGAGACAAGATAGTTAAATAAATAGAACAATAGTCATGAACAAAATTCAGAACATTATTAGAGAGTCACACCTCCAAATATTTCAGTTCAGATGATTTTACACTCTTTTTTTTAATCTTCAAGGGAAAATTAAGAGTTATTAATATTTTAATTTTTTTGAGCATAAAGAAAGAAACCCCCCAAAGAATAAAAAACCAACATGGTATCATTGATATCAAAGCTTTTCAAAGAAAGAATAAAAGGCCTCAGACAAATCCTTATTATGAATATCTATGCAAAGGTTTTGCATAAGATATTATCAAATAAGGTTTAGCAGGATATTAATATAGATCGCACCCAGGTAGCATTGCAAAAATTATTCATTATTAGGAGGTTTATTGTTATAATTCATCTTATTAAGTTAAAAAGGAATAAAAATGACACCAGGAAGATGCTTTAAAAATTCAGCATCTACTTCTGATTAAATAGTAAGTAAAATTTTTATTAATTTTAGATAGTAGATAATATCTTCGTTTTATAAATATATAACTTAAATTAAAACTCAGCCATAGGAGACTGAGCACCATGCTTATAGGAACAGTCACCGGTTCTTAAGGGAGGCTCTGGGCACAGGACAATCTCCTGGCCGGCATGGAGATGTTTTGCAGCCTGAAGACAAGGATCAAGAAACTTAGTGCTCTAACGAGATAAGACTGGTAGCTTGTTAGTAAGCAGGTGTTGGACTTTGAACATTTGTGGTGCACCAGGGTGGGGGTCGAGACCGTGGGGAGAGAGCATGTAGAGATCCTTAAGTGCATAGTCCTCATAAGTGGGGTGCCCCATCCCTGTTATATATCGTTTCAATAAAAGGCCACGGCGGTTGGGGCTCTCCTGCACCTACCGGGAGCCTCATCTCTTGCAAGCTTGTACTTTCAATACATGTACCGGCTGTTCCCAGCACATGGTGCCGGGGACCATAGCGTCACCAATACTCAGCATCATGGTTAGTAGTGGAACTCATCCATTAAATTTGGATGATCCTAAGCAAGACCCATGATCCTTTAACATTGTTTTAGAAAGCCTAGCCAAAGCATTAAAGAAGAGAAAGAAGCACACAGTCTATATATTTGTTGAAGGAAACAGAAATTCTCTTATCTGTAGATGTGATTGTATACCTATAAAACCTAAGGAAATTAACTGAAAATGTTGGAAATGATTGTAGAACTCTGTGAAATTCCTGGATATTAAATCAATTGGTAAAACCCAGTATTTATACTGTGTACTGAAATATCGGGAGGAAAATAATGGAATAAAAACTCTATTCAGGCTCGGTGCCTGTAGCTCAAGTGGCTAAGGTGCCAGACACATACACCTAAGGTGGTGGGTTCAAATCCAGCCTGGCTCGCCAAACAACAATGATGGCTGCAACCCAAAAATACCTGGGCGCTGTAGCGGGTGCCTGTGGTTTTAGCTACTTGGGAGGCGGAGGCAGGAGACTCGCTTGAGCCCAGGAGTTGGAGGTTGCTGTGAGCTGTGATGCCACAGCACTCTACCCAGGGGGATAGCTTGAGGCTCCAGTCTCAAAAAAAACAAAAAACAAAAAACAAAAAACTCTATTCAACAGTCTTAATAGGAGGAAAAGTCTAAAAATAAAATTAAAGACAAATATATAGAATTTATAGGAGAAAAATTTAAAATTTCTGAGTAATCCAAAACAAGACAAAATAAACAGACCAGTATATATTGATCTTGCAATGGAAGATTGCACTGTGTAAAAATGTCAATGTCTCCTAAAACCAATCTGTGATATAATAGAACCCCAGTAAAATTCCAGTTAAAATACCAAGAATAGCTTTTGAAGCTTTGCTAACAATATAAAGAACTAACATGCAAAACCAAGCACATAATATGTGTTCAATAAGTTATGTATCTTTCAATATGAATCTCTAATCTGGAATATATATTGAAATGTGTATATATGTTCTACTTCTCCCCATATCATCCAAATTCAAAAACTCTTCTTGATTTCTAAAAGAAACCACTCGCTCAAATATTTTTTGAGGGTTAGGCATTATTAAAACTAAACTTTGAAGTTTGGGGGGTTCTTGGGGTGGGCTATATCATGGCACCTGTGACTTGTTCCTTCCCTTAGGTTTGCATTCCTCAAACCAGAAAAAGGCCTTTTTGAATCAGTATTTGCCTTTTTTAGAGGACAGCTTAAGTTTAAAAAAATATATACACTGGTAGGCACTGTGACTCATGCCTGCAGTCCCAGCACTTTGGGAGTCTAAGGCAGGAGGATCACTTGTGGCCAGGAGGTGTGTGCCTGTAGTCCCAGCTCCCAGGGAATAGGAGGGAAGCTGAGAAGCTGAGTGGGAGGATCACTCGAACCCCATGTGGATGACAGAGTGATACCTGTCACAAAAAGAAAGCTAAAAAAATTAATATCCATATACATACATACACATGTATGCATGTATATATTTTTCTGTATCTATGGAATGTCTGTTAACATTGTTTTTAAATTAATAAATTTAATAAACACTATAAAATAATATGCAGTTTACTCTATCATAAATTCAAATATATATTCATTCAGTGATTCATTGATAATATATCTTATTTTATTAAAGAATATATAACTGAAAAAGTGTATCCCATGATGACAGAGAGTGGATTGGTGGTTACCAGAAGCTGAAAAGGGGAGGGGGAGAATGAAGGGGAAAAAAATGTATTTATTACCACTGAACTGTAATAACAGTTCATATAACAACGGTAAAGATGGTAAATTATATATGTCGTTTTTACTGCACTAAAAATAAATTTGAAAAAGAATATGTAAATGTTGTTACTTTTATTCCCTTATATAACTTTTCCAAAGTATCAGAATATTAACAAGAGTCACTTATTAGAATTTTGGCTGATTTTTCTTTCCTTTTTTTGTCTCTTTTTCCAATGTGTTTTGCATTTGTAATTTCACAAAATACTGTATTTTTTTTTTTTTTTTTAGACAGAGCCTCAAGCTATCCCCCTGGGTAGGGTGCCATGGCATCACAGCTCAC